GTTGTTGGTCTGCCGCTGGGGCCGGCTGGTCTCAACGCCACTGGTGAGGGTTTGGCCATTGGCTGTCCAGGTCACCTGTACGACGCCGGGGTAGAAGTCTCCCATGAGACACACCAGGGTGGCTTTGTTCTGCGTCGAGAGCTCCTCGGGGGATGGCGGGAAGAGGTGGATGGTGGGGGCGACCTTGGGCTGGCCTGTGAGGGGAGAAAGAGTGGTGGAGGGTCAGGGGGGACCTTGTGCCCCATCACAGCCCCCTGCCCGCCCTGCCCGCCCCGGCGGGCACCGCCGAGAAACTCCGCACTCCCCCACACAGCCCCCTGCCCGCCCTGCCCGCCCCGGCGGGCACTGCCCAGAAACTCCGCACTCCCCCACAGCTAACAGGTTATCACTTGTAACTCCAATGTATTTGAGTTACATCTCTCTATATATAAATATATATATATATATATTTATAAAAATATATGTGTATGTATATGTGTGTAATACACATACTCACACATCCCATATATACTTGTATATATGCTATATATACACACTATATGTATATATGTGCATATACACATTATATATTATAGTTATCTATATATACAGCTAATACACATCATATATATGTATATTATATATTACATATATAAAATATACAATATACAACATGTATAATGTATATAATTATATATAATTATATATGATATACATATTTATGTATTTTTACATGTATTTAATAGATAAAAATATGTTTTATATATAGTCATATGGATATATTACATATCTAAAAGAAAATTTCTGGTTAGTTGCTATAAAACCATTTCTTTCCTTTTGCAAGGCAATTTTACAAAAATATGAATTTCAAAGATGAACCATCCTGTTTTCTGCCCAGTTCTGCTTTCAGACACTTTCAGACTTGTCTCAGAAAAAGTACAACTAAGAATCACCCGAAAGAAGACAAAGAAAACGTTTGGTCTTTTCGAGGTCGTTCTGCTCTCTCGTCAAACGTACAATGTTTCTCTATCTCCATCATCTCTATCTCCATCATCTCTATCTCTATCTCTATCTCTATCTCTATCTCTATCTCTATCTCTATCTCTATCTCTATCTATCTCTTCGAAAACCAGGAAGACTCTGCCATTAAACACTTTCTGCTCAAGAAATTGGCAAACCACGTTTTTCTCGATCTTACACCCCCAGTAATTTGGTTCAGATTGGAATTTTTAGCCAAATTCTTTTAAAAATTACAGACAAAGACAGACAGACAATGTTCCCAGCAGTATTTTCAACACAATAATCTCCATTTTTGACACGGCTTACCTGGACAACGGGATCTTTAAAATACCCCTGGAAACTTTTGGTTAAAATCCCAGGGACGTGCCATTTTAACACAAAGTTGGATGCGACTTCAGCCGGCTTGTGGCCAAGGACGGGCTGCCGTTTCACAGCACCGGCACCCTCGGCCACAGGACCCCACAGAGAAGCCCCCGCTCCTCACCGAGGGCGACGGACTTAGTCCGCAGGACTAAGAGTTGAGGACTTAGACCTTAGACCTTAGACTAAAGACTAATTTCTTTAACAAAGACAAAAATTGACTTTCTTAGAGACCTAAATAAACCTGAGTTTCTGAAATAGGCTCCCCGGGACCTCAGACACATTTCCTGGCCAAATTTTAAGATCTTTCAATTGAAAAAATAACCCCCAATTCTCTGTGGCGCGCACCAGAGCCCTCCGAGTCCGCAGGGACAAGACACAGCCCACAACGCCGCGCTTAGTGCCCATCCCTGAACCGGCGGCAGACCCCAGCCCAGCGCCAAGTCCGAGAAAAAAACCCCAAATCACCAAAAATCGACAAAATGTCACAATATCGCGGTGGGGAAGGAAAGACCGAGAAGAAGTCGGCGACTCACCTAGGACGGTCAACATGGTCCCGGCCCCGAATACACCACACAGTGATACAGGGCCATGCAAAAACCTTCTGGCCCATGGCAGGAGCAGTCCTGGGCCCCGATGGATGTAGCAGGATGGAGGTGATGGGATGGAGATGTCCCGATGGACACAGCAGGATGGAGGTGATGGGATGGAGGTGCCCCAATGGACACAATAGGTTGGATGCATGATGTTGAAAATGCCGCGGTGAATGTGGCAGGGCAGGAGCAGGAGGACAGCCATATGAAGACAATTGTGTGTCCTTGAGGGGCCATGGGAAAATGGGTGGCCTTGGCTCTGCCATCCTTCATTAGCCGCGTTGGCCAGGCTCTCCAGAGCCATAGCTGCATCATTGGCTGCTCCAGGGATGCACTGCTACCCAGGACCACAGGCTTTGTGGTCATTACAAGCCCATGTCCATGCTTGTGGCGTGGGGACGTTAATCCCAGATGAGGAAGGGCTGCTGGAGGCTTTGGGTCCCCCTAAGGGGCGACAGGCAGCACCTTGCCTCAACCTGTGCTGCTGCCATGGAGGTGGCTGTGGGATGCCCTGTGGGGCACTGGCCACTATCCTGCCACCCCTCGGGCTACACCGTGGCTGCGGCTGGGGCGAATGGGGACCACCAGCCATAGGACAGTACGTGTGCAGGTAAACCTCATGGGTAAACCATCCATCTGTCCTTCGCACTGCCCAGAAACACCAGCGCAGCCATAAGTGCCATGGTTTCATAGGGGACCCCACCACTCAGCGCCTGAGCCACCCTGCAGCCTGGTTCTACTCTCCAGGGCAAAACCAGACCCTGGCACAGCCCACATCCTTACCTGGGCAGGATTTTTGGTGCCTGGTGGATGGGCGAGCCTCCTCACGGCAGCTGCGTCAGGGCACCCTGTGGTGGGGCAGTCCATGCAGAGCAGCGGCGCAGCCCCGGCTGCCATCACGCTGCGCCCGCCGCTCTGCCAGGGCTCAGCCCTGCGCTGGGGGCTGGGCACGGGGGCA